GAACCTTTTATAGTGTCTACTCCGGTGGGTGAGTCGGTTGTTGCAAAAAGGGTGTATAGAAATTGTCCAATAATGTTGCCTAATAAAGTTTCTTATGTTGATCTAGTAGAACTCGATATGCTTGATTTTGATGTTATATTGGGTATGTATTGGTTGCATGCTTGCTTTGCTTCTATTGATTGTAGGACAAGAGTCGTGAAGTTTAACTTTCCAAATGAACCAGTTGTAGAAAGGAAGGGGGGAAATTCTATTCCTAGAGGTCGTATAATCTCTTGTCTAAAAGCATGCAGAATGATCTCTAAAGGTTGTCTATACCATATTATAAGAGTCCAAGATTTGTACTCCGAAATTCCTCCCATTGAGTCGGTCCCCGTAGTGAGTGAATTTCCAGAGGTTTTTCCTAGTGAAATTCTCGGTATTCCTCCTTAACGGGAAATTGATTTGGCATTGATTTGCTACCAGATACAAATCCCATTTCAATTCCTCCTCATCGGATGGCTCCAACCGAATAGAAAGAGTTGAAGTCTCAACTTAAAGATTTACTAGACAAGGGTTTCATAAGACCTAGTATTTCTCTATGGGGCGCTCCGGTTTTGTTTGTGAAGAAGAATGATGGGTCCTTGAGAAAGTGTATTGATTACCGCAAACTTAATAAGGTCACAATCAACAACAAGTATCCTCTCCCTCGGATTGACAACTTGTTTGATCAACTACAAGGGGCAAGCTACTTTTCTAAGATTGACTTGAGGTCGAGGTATCACTAACTTAGGGTGAGAGGTGAGTATGCACCAAAGACGGTCTTTCGGACTAGGTATGGTCACTATGAGTTCTTGGTAATGTCTTTTGGTCTCACTAATGCTCCGACGGCATTTATGGACCTAATGAATAGGGTGTTTCGAAATTACCTAGACTCATTTGTCATTGTCTTCATTGACGAAATCTTGGTATATTCGAAGAATGAGTATGATCACATGGGTCATTTGAGGGTGGTACTGCAAACCCTTAAAGAACATTAATTGTTTGCAAAATATATAAAGTGTGAGTTTTGGTTGAGGTTGGTGACATTTCTTGGGCACATCATCTATAGTGAAGGAGTTGAGGTAGACTTAAGGAAAACAGAGGCGGTGAAGAATTGACCTAGACCATTGAATCCAACAGATATTAGGAGTTTTTGGGTCTAGCAGGTTATTATCGGAGGTTCATGGATGGTTTTGTGTCCATTGCATTTCCTTTGACTACTTTGACCCAAAAGAGTAAGAAATTTGAGTGGTTGGAGGCGTGTGAGAAAATTTTCCAATTATTGAAAGAAAGGCTCACTTCTGCTCCGATGTTGACTTTATCGGAGGGTACAAAGGGGATTGTTGTGTATTCTGATGCATCCCGAGTAGGTTTGGGGTGTGTGCTTATGCAACACGGGAAAGTGATAGCTATGCCTCTAGGAAACTTAAGGTACATGAGCGAAACTATCACACTCATGACCTTGAGTTAGCGGCCGTGGTGTTTGCTTTTAAAATTTGGAGGCATTATTTGTATGGGGTTCATGTTGATGTCTTTACTGACTATAAGAGTCTCCAATATGTGTTTACCCAAAAAGAGTTGAACCTCCTGCAAAGGATGTGGTTAGAGTTGTTGAAAGATTATGACGTAAGTGTCCTCTATTACCCCGGCAAGGCTAATGTGGTTGCGGATGCCCTAAGTCGTATGACTATGAGTAGTGTATCCCACATTGACGAAGTCAAGAAGGACCTAGCGAGGGAAGTTCATAGGTTGGCTAGGTTGGGGGTGAGGCTGGAAGGTTCTCCAAATGGGGGTGCTATAGTCCATCATAACTCTGAGTTAATATTGGTGGTTGAGGTGAAGTCCAAACAACACCTTCATCAACCATCAATGGAGTTGAAAGAATCGGTTCACGACAAGTTAAATGAGTCATTCTCCTTGGGGGGATTGTGTGTTAAGGTACCAAGGGAGATTGTGTGTTCCCGATGTAGATGGGTTGAGGGATCGGATCCTAGAAGAAGCCCATGGGTCCAGCTACTCCATTCATCCGGGTTCGACAAAAATGTACCATGACCTAAGGAAAATATATTGGTGGGAAGGTTTGAAGAGGAACATAGAGGAGTTTGTCGCTAAATGTCCAAATTGCCAACAAGTAAAGGCCCAAGATCAAAAGCTGGGTGGCTTACTACAAGAGATCCAAATTCCTACTTGGAAGTGGGAAGACATCAATATGGACTTTGTAGTGGGTTTACCTCGGACTCAAAAGTCATATGATTCCATATGGGTGGTTGTGGATGTTGACACCCAATTTTGACCCTTCACAATATAAATCAATCATCGAGTTTCTTAATTCCCAAACTATTTTGAATAATTATTTTTATAAACTTTAAAGTATTTTTCAAGTTTATTTTAATTAGTTGTCACTTTTTATTATTTTTAGATGATATATGTATTTACATATTATGTATATAATTAACATATTTTCAAAAGATTTTAGTTCTAGTAAAATATTATTTAGACAACTAGTGTTGTTTAAATAATAACTTATATTTTAAGTTAATTAGTTTATAATTAAAATCATTATTTTATTTTGTTAAGATTAAGAAGCTGATTAATTAATTTATATTTATTCATATTATTTAGTTATTAGTGAAATCCTTAAACCCATTTAGAAATCAAAAGTTTTTGGTCTTTATTGTTTCCATCCCAATTCTTTTTGGGCAAC